TGGCTGGATGTAGGAACTAGATAGTTGAAAATATTTCATCAGATACAAGAGCCTCTGGTACTTAAGCAGTTGTAGACTGCTGTAGAGTCTTCAGAGCAGTAATGGGATCCGAAGGGTAGGTGAGTAAATCTCACAGTTTATTCTGGAAGCAAAAAGAATTTGTCATGTAGGACACGCCTTTATCACTGCAGAGTCTGGGAGAAGACTATTGTAACAACTCTAGCAAAAGATTTTGTTAACTTGGAAAGTGATCGTAAAGGTAGTGACCATGAGAAGGGTAGGGGTGGAGTGACATTAAAGGGTGTAGGATTGGTAGACTTTATGGGTGAATGTGAGAAATGTGAAGGAGGAAGGATGAGATCAAGGTTGGCATCCTTGCTCCTGGTTTGAATGGATGATTGGGTGGCTGCTTATGCCTCTGAGAGAGAAAATATGGTAAAAAGATCAGGCTTGAGCAAGGGTGGAAAACACCAGTTTTGAATGGGTATGAGTTGCCTGTGGAAAATTTAACTAGTGGAGTTAAGCAGACATTAGGCATGTGGTTCTAGAATTTAGAGGATAGCAGGAAAAGAGAATTTTGGAGGTCTGGATTATGACAAGAGGGCCTGATAAGTGTGCTAATTAATCATTAATTCTTTTTTTTTAAGATTTATTTTTATTATTTTTGTATTGGAAAGGCGGATATACAGAGAGGAGAGACAGAGAGGAAGATCTTCCGTCCGATGATTCACCCCCCAAGTGAGCACAACGGCCCGATGCTATGCCGATCTGAAGCCAGGAGACTCTTCTGGGTCTCCCACGCGGGTGCAGGGTCCCAAAGCTTTGGGCTGTCTTCGACTGCTTTCCTGGGCCACAGGCAGGGAGCTGGAAGGGAAGCGGGGCTGCTGGGATTAGAACCGGCGCCCATATGGGATCCCAGGCGTGCAAGGCGAGGACCTTAACCACTTGCGCCACCGCGCTGGACCCAATCATTAATTCTTATTAATATTATACAATGCACAGTATAATAAATATATCATTATATTAATATGGTTATTATGTCTATTATATAATATATAAGTATATATAATAAATATAATATTAATTAATGTTGATTAAAATAAATAATTAATGATACAGTTCTATAGGCTCCAGGATTTCCCTTCCCCCCTCCCCAAATCTCTACCCCCCTGACTTTCCACATGTCATTACAATGGTATAGTCCTTCCGAACCAGTCTTAAGCTCTCATTCTGAGGAATGGTAGGGTCTAGCAACTCTGCCTGGGCCTGAGATCCTAGGCCGAGGCATAGGCATGTGTATGTGCTTTTATGTTCATATATGTTCACAGTGCTGAAGGGTGTAGATTATGGTAGAAATGACCTCCTCGACACTTCAGAGTCCATCATTGATTTACTACTTAAAAACTATGTGGCATTGTGCATGGTCCTTAACAGATGCTTTCTTTAATAGTCTGATTTCTGCAAAGTTAATGAGTTGCCAAGAAGTTAGTACTGTTCAGAAACCAGGGTCCCAGTATTCACTCCAAACTTGCCCTGCTTTCACAGGGGAAAGAAAGAGACCTTGGGGTTCCTTCTCATGTCAAGCATTGCTTCTGTTTCAAGGATGGAAAGACTCTGGATGGACTGGGAGACTGCATGATCTCAATTTAGTCGGCCCTATAGTCATCAGCAAGTCGATTTCTCTTCAAAAGGAGGCTCTAGTGTGAATTATATTTGTTGAACTCTAATCCCCTGATAACAGGCAATTTAAGGTTGAGACCTTTTGGTAAACAATGTTGTGTTAACAGAGGTACATGTTCTAGAAGTCTGGAAAGCGCAAAGAGCAACACAGTAGGACAAGTTCATTAGCTATGGAGACTTGTCAGTGCTTGCACAGTGACTATTTGATCTACATCTATTGTGTATCTGTGAAGCATAGCTAATCATAGTTCCCCACTAGGCTTTTTTGAGTGCTAATCTCATTAGTTCCTTATTGAACGTCAGTGGTTTCCTGATGATCCATACCAAAGTATGTTTCTCTTCCTAGCTGGTCTTTCCAGACTTTGAAGAGAATATTTACAATGAATAAAACTCTATTTTACAGTTTCTTAATTTGTTTCAGATTTCAAGTGTGGTTAGTACTGTAAAATTAGTAGATCATTCACCTTAATAAAGTATTAAAGGAAAAAGCCCTTCACAATCATCTCATTAATACATAAAAATATTTGATAAAATTTAGTATAACTTTATGATTAAAGAATTCTTAATCAAAACAGGACTTTTTTATTAATCTGGTAGGAAACATGAAAAAATTCTGTCACAAACACAAATAATGAGGAAATTTTGGAAACAATTTTAAAATTAGGACTACAGGCATTGTACTCCTAATCTTAACAGATTAAGCTGTTGCTTTTGAGTCTTCTATCACATATGTGTGTGCTGGTCCCAGTCCTGGCTGCTCCGCTTTCAGTGCAGCTTTCTGCTAACGCACCTAGGAAAGCAGCTGCAGATGACCCACATAAAATCAAGGGTTGAATTCTGGCTTCAGACTGGTCCAGCCTTGGCTATCACAGCCACTGGGGAGAAATAAGCCAGTGGACAGAAGACTTCTCTTTCCTACACAGTCTCTCACTCTCCATTGCTCTACTTTTCAAATAAATAAAAAAATAATTTTTCCCCTTAGTGTTGTAATTATTATTTTTTTCCAATAGCCGTTGCTTTATTTTATTTATTCATCTTTTTAATCTTATTTTCCATTATACATTTTTGTAGATATAGGGCTTCCTTTTTTTCTCTCCCTTTCCTCCCTCCACTTTGCCCTCTACATTGTCTCCTGTATTTTACAATAATATCGTTTTTCAGCTGTAGTCACGACTCTTTCCGCTCTTTATGTGTGTCATGACATCGTAGGCATAAGCATAGGCATAGGCATAATGGTAGAGAAACCGGTTTCTTGTTGTCAAGATGTATTTAACGGTTTGATTAGGGGCCTTTTTTTATTTGGGGGTAGAGTTGCTTACTGCAGTTCTTCTTTGTTTACCAGTACTGTAGTCTCCATTACACCATTCGTTTATGGGACTATAAATGTGTATCTGCTTACCTATATATCTTTTTGTTTAGTATTTTGTATGAAGGTTATCATATAGAGAGAACATACGATGTTTCTCCTTTGGTATTAGCTTATCTCACTGAGCATAAAGGTCTCTAGTTGGGATTACTTTGCTGCAAAAGTAGAATTTCACTCTTTTTAATGGCTGAGTAGTATTCCACGGAGTATATGTGCCATGGTTCCTTTATTTAGTCCTCTTTCAGTGGGTGTCCAATTTGCTTCCATATCTTTGCTATTGTGGACTGTGCTGCTATGAATATAGGGGTGCATAGTGCTTTCTCATAGTAGGTTTCACTTCTTTTGGATATATTTCCAGAAGTGGGACTACTGGATCATATGATAGAAGAACTTTCAGTTTTCTGATCACTCTCCATACTGACTTCCAGTGGAGTATGATACCTTTTTCCCCACATCCTCTCCACCAGATATCATTAAATGATTTCTGTAAATAGGCTGTTCTCACTGGTGTTAAGTGGAACCTCAATGTGATTTTTATTTGTATTTCTCTTATTGCTAGGTAGCCTGAGCATTTTTTTCATGTGTCTGTTAGCCATTTGAATTTTTCTTTTGAAAAATGCTCATTTCTGTTGCCCATTTCTTAACTGATTTGCTTATTTTGTTGTGTTTCTGGAGCTGTAAATCCTGGATATTAGTCCCCAGCTGAAATAAATAAGTCTTTAAAATGTAATTAGGGATATGGTAGGAATGTTCTCTTACGCCTTGGATTCAAGTTCTGGCCCTACTCCTGGTTCTAGCTTCTTGTTAACGTGCTCCTAGGAGGCAGCAGGTGAAGGCACAGTAACTAGGTCCTTGTCACCAATTAGGACGACCTGGGTTAAGTTCTGAACACCTAGCTTTAGTCTTGGCCTTTGTGGGCTTTTAGAGATGGACCAGCAGGTTGGGGCCTTTTTCTACTTGTTCTGTCTCCGTCTCTCAATTGAAGAAAAGAAAAAAAAAGAAGAATGAATGAATAAACAAATGAATATATTAGATCTAAGAGCTAGAAAGGAGGGATAAAAATCTCTGGTATTATATAGTTGTAATGTGAGTGTCTAAATGGAATACCTAACCGAATTATGGTCAAATAATGATAGTAGAAACATTTGACAGGATAGCTGGATACAAATCAGTTTGCAGAAACCAATTGCTTTTTATAAACCATGACAGTCAAATGCTTCAGAAAAGATAAAAAGCTATAAAGTACTTAGGAATGAATGTACTCATGGTGTGTAAGATCATCTCTCATGCAGAAAAAAAAATCAGAATTTTAGATGACATTGAAGAAGGCCTAAAGAAATGGAAAAGCAACCAGTGTGCATGGATAGGATGGTATACTGTGAGAAAGATGTTGTTTATACCCAAATTGACGATAAAATCAGTTCCCATCAAAATATCATCAGCTTTCTAAACGGAATTTGACCATCTGATACTAAAATTAGTATGAAAGAATAAAGGAAACTAAGATAACCAGTCACTCCTTGGAAATGGTAATAATAATAATAATAAGAAGAAGACTAGAAGCTGGTTCTGACTGATACCAGTCCCTATTATGAAGCTATAGAAGTGATGTGCTTCTGGTACAGACTGACTGGCTAGCAGAGTAGGTTAAGGAGTGTGTCTGAAACTGTAATACATAGTGGAAAGTGGCATGGCAAAGGAGTGGGAAGAATAGAAAGTGTCAGTAAATAGAACTGATGGGGAAAAAATAGATCCCTATTTCCTATTATGACGTAAAAATTAATAGCAAGCAAATATAAGGGCTTAAATATCAAAGGAAAAGTGTTGAAGTTAGAATCGAGGGGAACAGAGTGACAGCAATTCCACTGGTGGGTGTATAAATACATGGAGTTGGGTGAACTGATTTACGAATTTGTGATCCTCTCTCACCTTCCCTCTTCCTTCCTGTTGACAGCGTCAAGCCAGGCTCCCAGCCCCCGGTGCAGGCTGGCGAGGAAAAGACCCAGAGGACCACCACTGTCAACCCTGCCCACATGGGGAAGGCATTCAAGGTTATGAATGAACTGCGGAGGTACTTGTGCTCTCTTGCTTTGCCCTTTCAAAAGGAAACTGCGGGGTGAACTTCATCAGGGAGCCAGAATAGAAGTGAGAACAAATTCTGACTCGTCCCTCACCCACTCTCCCTCACTTGGCTGCCTCTCTCAAACTGTGACTGAGACTGAATGGTTTTGCCAGAAATCTCGTTCCTTTGTATTATTTAACACCTACCATTTTAGTGATTAATCACAGAGGGGGAAAAAAGTCCTTTCCGGTTATATTAGGTCTGTTTGTAATTTTGAATTCCAACTGAACCACCTTCTTGAAAACCAGTAACAAAATAATACACACCTATTTTCTTTTGGTTTCCCTCCCTCTTTCCTTGGTCTGAATTCGACTCAGCGAGACAACCATATGTATGGGAGAATAGCTAGCTCCCTGAATGCATCTTTACCCATAAGGAGAGAAATCAAATGCAAATGTGCTGATCCTCTCTGAGATAAATGATTTAGGGATATGCAGACAAGCTTGTTTCAGGGCAAGTTCGGGGCCCTGAACACTCGTTCCTGACAAAGCCTGTGCACATTGTCTCTTCTTTGCTTGAGGACTCAGAATTTGCTTGGCCCAGGCCATTATTTGCTGAATACTTTATCCCGTTCTGAGGTGACATTCTTTACCTCTTCTTCTCTGCCATTCATGAGCTCCTGAGGATAGGAGCAAATTTGGAGTAATTTTGATCTCTCTAGCACCTGGCACTTCATAGGAACAATTCATTCACCTAAGATTCCCAGAGATACTGGCTGGACCCTGGGGTTGATGGCTGTGGGTACAAAGTAAAAAATGTAAATAGGGCAGTGAAAACAGCCTTTCTTTTGTGAGAACTGGAGTTATGAAGGAGGAATGTGTCATGTGATCAACAGAAGGTAGATGGGTAGTAATCTTTGCCTCTTTTAAGAAGCACCCTTTAGGGTGCTGCAGAAGCAGGTACTCTGGAGAATACATCCCATGGGGAGTGGTGCTTAAGCTGAATTTGGAAGGATAGGCGTGAAATGAAGAGTCGTGGGGATAGGGAGATGCCTTCTAGGCAGATAAAGTGACATACACCCAAAGTATTTGTTGAATAGGGAACTGAACTATTTCAAACAAAAGTTCTATCTGAATTTGTATTTGTTGCCTCATCTCTCCTTTTTGAAGGACCTGGTCTTGGCATTAAAAACCAAGTTAAATTTTCTTACACTGTACTGCTCAATTTTTATTAGGCCTCCTGCCAGATTTCTCAGAAGCAGTGTCTACAGCTGCCTGGGGCATTGGGCAATGCTGATGCTCTTGTCTATGGCATGGTTCTGTTGTCACTAGGGAATTTGTGTTCTGTCCCCTGAACACTACTGAAGTGTCTCTTTTTGTTCCTCTGGGTATAGCTAATGTCCCTTGTCTATTTTGAGAATCCAAGTTTCCCACCAGGTTTTATTTTATCTGAAATAGCCTAGTCCAGTGATCACGGAAAAGAGCAGCCTTCCTTTGAGGAACAGATATCCACACAGGATTCTCTACTCCCAGTTTCTTTTTTCTTTTTCTTTTGTTTGTTTTGTTTTTATTGCATTTAAAAATGTTTAAGTTTTTTGTTTTTATTGGATTTTTAAATATATTTTTGTTTTTATTAGATTATTTATTTTTTTATTGGATTCGAGAAATACAGATGAGATGAGATAGAGAGTGAGAGAGAATGTGACAGCTATAGAGACAGAGCTATTATCTGCTGATTTCACTTTCCAAATGCCCAAAGTGGCTGAGGGGGATTGGGACTGAAGTCAGAAGCCAGGAACTGAGTCCAGGTCTTCCATGTGCATGACAATGACACAACCACTGGAGTCATCACTGCTGACTCCCAGCGTCTGAATTACCTGGAATCAGGAGCTATAGCTAGGAATTTAACCTTGGTCTCTGATGTAAAGTATCGATTTTTAAATTAATCAATTAATTAATTAATTAATTTTTGAGCCAGGTTAAATAGAGAAGGGGAGGGAGAGAGATCGTCCCTCTGCTGATTTACTCCTCTTGTGACTTCAATGGCCAGAAATGGCATGGGGTTGAAGAAGTTATTTTGAAACTTAAGCATCACTTTTTCATAATATATGTGTTCCTCAAATGCATGGATTTCAATTCTTTTTGGGACCCTATTAATGTTATCTTTGAATTTCATTTTCCATAAACTTTTTGAGGTACCTTTCTATATTTAGCTGGGAAGATTTTAATTCAAGCTTAGACATTAGTTTCTTTCATTTTTCTTTAAAAAATTTTATAAAACAAATATATTTGTTATAGAATTTTTTAAGACAAAGATGAACAGAAAGGCAGTGAAAGTTTTAATCTACAGTTGTAGCAGTGCTGACACTTTGGGAGGATATGTTCTTTTTCTTCCTTAAAATTTATGCTTCAGCTTTGTTTTTTCCCTTACTGCTATGTCAAGCACATTTTTTGTGTCACTCTACAACAGTGATATTCTGTTTTTGGTTTATTTTGTAAACAACAATTCTCTGTTGTTGCATATCTGGGTTTTTACCAATTCTGCATATAAATAACACCTGAAGAGGTTATCTTTATAGTTGCATAATGCTGTGGTCACAAACACAGATGGTGGTTCCAAATGTTGACCTTACTGTGAACAAACTCTATGACCCTGGGCAACTTAATCAATTTCCCTGATCTCAGTGTTGTCAACTGTAAAATGAAACTGGTAATAGTACTCGTCTTTCTGAGTTGTTTAGAGGGTTAATGAATAAAGTGCTTAGAAGTAATAGTAAACATATGACCAGCACTGTGGATGCTCGTGATTTCTGTAGCATAGTTATAGCTACTCCTTAATATGGTTATGAAGCTTGGCTCGTAGTAGGTATTCTCAATGTTTCCTGCCATGATGAGGACAACGGTGAGCTAGCTCAGCACTGTGCTAGGTTACAGGAATCGTGGCTGTGGATAAAGGGATCAAAGTCTTGTCCTCTGTGAATCTTGTTCCTGTGATGTCCAAAGGCATTATCTAATTCAAGGCACTTAAATGGATGATTTCCAAACTGAGGCTGTGAGAAAGGGGGGCCGAACTGAAATTATATTGACCTGAGTGAGTTTAATTGTAGTTGGTGTGTTTTGATGAAGGATTGGGCTACAGCATCTTGTCATCAGCAATTAAGTTAATAAAATGTCACACGATATTCCAGGGACCTGGGGTTATTTCTTGCATTGTTTTCACATTCCCCTCTCTTAATTTGGAGCTATTTCAGTGCACGTACACACATTCTTTGTGATTTATGAATCACACAATTCACGAGTTTCCTATCCTTTTTACTTACACGATAGAGAATGGGTTGTTGGCATGGTAACCACTCAGGCTTCCTCCTCTTCTTTGCACTTCATTACTTGGCCCAGGTCAGACCCTCACTGTTTCTGCACAGCACTTTTGGCTCCTGATTTACCATCCATCCAGCAAGTGGATATATGTTCTGTCTTGAAAAAGCAAGCCCTGACCAGACCCGAAAACAAGGGCGTGGGTGATGGAGCAACCAAGTACTCAGAATCTGCAGTCTTGGGTAGCTCATCTTGACAGTTCTAACCTTCCATCGTCATGACAAATGCTTCTCAGCTTTCATTTTTTTTTTTTTTTTTATGATTTGCTGTGTGCCTTTATTACTGGTAATGAACCATCCTACCACATTCTTTCTGTTCTACTTTATCAGGACATCATTAATATTGCTGTACGGTTCACCTTTTAGAGTTTATAGCTTACTGGCTGTTTAGTATAATCACAGAATTGTTCAGTGGTAATAAATTTAAGAATATGTTCATCACCTGGTATAATTGACCAATCATTCCTCTCCTTCTTATCTCCTTATTCTTCCTACCCCGCTTTCCATTCCCCTACCTGCCCTAGATAACCAGTAGTCTCCTTTCTGTATCAATTTTTAAAATTTTGTGTTTTATTAGAAATGCTTTTTAAAGGTTTATTTTATTTTTATTTACAACGCATATTTACAGAGGGAGCAGGAGAAACACAGAGAGAGGTCTCCCATTTGCTGGTTCACTCCCCAAATGGCCGTGATGGCTAGAGCTGAGTCTATTCAAAGCTAGGAGCAAGGAACCTCTTTAGGGTCTTCTGTACTAGGCAGGGGCCCAAGCCCTTGTTTGATCTTCCTCTGCTTTCTTTGACCATAAACAGGGAGCTAGATGGAAAGTAGAGCAGCTAGGACGTGAACTGGCACTTATGTGGGATGCTGACACCACAGATGGAGGCTTAGCTTACCATGCCACAATACCAGTCCTGGAAATGTTTAAAACATGTCGTTTTTGTTTATTTTAAAGGAGCAGAGGGAGAAGGAAAGAAGGACAAGTCTTCCATCTACTGATTTACTCCCTCAAATGTCTGCAAAAGCTTGCATTGGGCTAGGCTGAGACTTGGAGCCAAAAACTGAATCTGTGTCTCTCACATTGGTGGCAGAGACCACTTCAAAAGCCATCACCTGCTGCCTCCCATGGTGCTCCTTAGCAGGACGCTGGAATTAAGAGCAGGGCTGGGACTCAACTGCAGACACTCTGAAATGGAATGCAATTTTTCCAAGTGGTGTCTTAACTTCTATTTTATTCTATGATATTCTGTGGTATTCTATCCTGTTCTATTCTATGCTATGCTATTCTATGCTTTGTGTCTGACTTCTTTCACTTGGTGTAATATTTTCAAGGTTCATCTGTGTTACAGCATGCCTCAGTACTGCATTCATTTTTTATTGATGAATATCATTTCATTGTATCGATATAACACATTTTGCTATAGAGAATAATGCTACTATAAATGTTCATTTGTAAGTTTTTGTGTGGATTTATACTCTCGTTTCTGTTGGGTATGTGTGATTCTAGGGAGGGATTGTTGGGTCATAAGGCAACTCCACAGTTAACCTTCCAAGGAATTGTCAGATTGTTTTCAAAAGCAGTTGAACCTTTTTATGTTTCCATTAACAGTATATGAAGATTTCAGTTTCCCTTTATCTTGGGAAATTAATGGGATCTTCATATTTATTCCCTATTCCTTCTTGTCTTTTGGTTTAGCTTCTAGCACTGAAAATTTATCATTTTGACCCTTCTTTGTCGATTTTTAAAAACTATTTTTTATCAAATTACTCATCCCATATTAGAGTGCCTACATCAAGTCCTACTGCTGCTTCTCATCCAGCTGCCTGCTAAATGCATCCTGAGGTGTAATCAATGATCGCTTGAGTTCTTGGGTCCCTGCCACCAAGATGGAAGATCTGTATTGAGTTCTGGGTTCCTAACTTCAGCCAGTTTAACCTTGTCTGTTGTTGGTATCTGGGGAGAGAATCTCTGTCAGCTCCTCTATCTGTCTCTGCCTTTAAAATGAAATTAAAATAAACAAAAGTTTAAATATGAAATGAATGTTTACTGTTTTATGATGAATATTTTCAAAATTACATCTTTAATGGAAGTGAAAATGTCTGTGGTGAGTCTGTTGTTCTTGTAGGGAGTGTGATTTTATGATGAATCTGACCAGAATGTTCTCAGGTAGCATGTGCAATCACATTTGGCCTCCATGTGGTTCTCCCCAGTGGTAGGGAAGAAAAATTATAGTGTGCTTCTTTCTTTGTTTTGTCCTTGTTCTGGTAGCCAGTTAGGGGCAGAGCCAGTTCTTTCCCTGGTTGCACCATTTTTTTTTTCTGATAAAGTTTTTGTGTATGGTATACTGTCCATCTCTAGAAGTCCCAGCCCTTAGGTTTTTGCCTCTTGATACATAAAGATTTTACTCTCTCCACAATCCCCATCAGTGGTACTTTATTCCATGTGCTGAATATTTCTGACCACCTCTCTTCGTTAGAGGTAACCTATCTCCTGTTTTCCCATTCTAAATGTCAGCCAGTCATAAGGAATTGTGGTACAAAGGAGAAGCTGCTATGTCTGGAGTCAGGAGAACTGGATTGAAGACTCGGGCTTCTGTGGCTTTGGGCATCTCTTCACCTGTCTGGGTTTCATGGGACATTTGATGTCCTGGGACCTTCAAGGATGTTTGCAGCTAAAGTTTTCTCAGAAAATGCACTGGGAAGTGACTTAATGTGCTATGTCAGAGGTGATAAATATGTAGCTTCTCTTGCATCTGTCATTCATAGGTGATTCATTCTTTGATTTTCACATCCTCCCATGGAACCCAACATGACTTCAGACTGCTCAAACCAGTATAGTGTGCTGAATAACCACTACCAGTGAATTGCAGTTGAATGAGTTTGTCCTCTTTGTATTCCCTCCCACTTCTAGTGTTTTAATCTAAGGCAAGTATATTGGTGGCCAGGATACTATGACCATTAAAAATATAGACTCCAGGAATCAAGCTACTTGAATTCAAATCCTATTTTCTCTGTTGCCTTTCTAGATGACCTTGGGAATGTTACTTTACTCTCTGGACTCCAATTTCCCCATTTGTTATCTGAGACATAGCAATTAGCCCTACTTCGTTGGGTTGTAGAGAGGATTAAATGAGGTCATATGTGTAGACAAATACTTAGAACATACAACTCAGGACATGTTAATGACTATGTTAATAGTAAGTTTGATAAGAACTTGGAAAGCTGATAAAACAAAAATTTATGAGTTGACAGGGCTTGAGGCACACTTACCAATCTCCAAATACATCAAGTATCTATTCTGTTTATGAATGTGGATGGATCCCATTTCATTCATTAATTCAGTAAAAATTTAGGGTTTAGTATATGCTGGAGATGGAGGCAGGTTTCAAGGATACAATAGTAATTATGACAAATCCTCTTCCAAGTTCAGTGTAGTAGGTGACAAATGTAAAAAGGTAGTTGCAGTGTTCTTAGTAATTTTGGTTAATAGGCTTGCAAAGGGCCTTTGGGGGAGGGACAGCATGTGTACAAGTGGAATCTTTATGGTGATATTAGAAGTTCATATGCAATGGGTCCCTTGTGGAAGTGGTTAGTGCTCCCTCTTGCTAGTGGTCTACCTTGGTGATATGTTTATTCCTCATACTCATTTAGTCACTTGACTAACAGCAACAGGCTTTTCCTCTGTCCTTTTAGTGGACCTCTGTCCTCCTAAATGCAGGAACGACCTGATAGAAATGAAGAGCAAAGAGGTGAAGACAAATGAAGCAGCCCTGAATTTACAGCCAGAGTAGATGAATCCTTCTGAGTACCCAATGAAAGTGTGACTATCAGACTTCTCAGGGACTGAGAAAAGTCAGTGAGTCCATCCTCCTGCCTGGCTTAACACAGAGCAAATCTGTGTGAAAGCCTTGTGTATGGTTGTGTGACATCTGGGTGGGAGAGAAACAACCCTTGTGTGATGGAAGTGGGAGTCCATTCGTGACCCATTCTGTCCCCTCACTGGTGTCTTACAGTAAGCAGCTGTTGTGTGACGTGATGATTGTGGCAGAAGATGTCGAGATAGAAGCCCACCGTGTGGTCCTGGCAGCCTGCAGCCCCTACTTCTGTGCGATGTTCACAGGTATGGTTGAGGGGCAGATAATAGCAGTTATGGGGATGACAGTCCCACTGGGAGATTATTGAGGGTGGTATTATCAAGTGGGGAAAAGGCTGTGAAGCCCACTGCAAGGAGCTCTCTGTGCGAGACTGTGCTTTGTACAACAGAGGACTTGGTCTAACTAAAGCCTCCACCAGGCCAATTGGGCTCGTGGCTCCTTGTCTATACCCAGGGAAGCTTGTTCGTGTTGTTCTCCTGGACTGCCTGCCAGGCCTTTGGAGCTGTCATTTTGCATACGAGGGAACATTGAGGCTAAAAGAATGGAAGGGACTTGCCCAGGATCACACAGTGAATGAATGAAACCTGACTTGTTTAAGAATATATTATTTATCAAATTTCACTTTATTTGAAAGGGGGGCAGGGAAGGTGGGAAGGGAGGAAAAAAGAGAGACAGAGGGTTGGGGGAGAGAGATCTTCTATTTCCTGGCTCATTCCCCAAATACCCACTGCATCCAGGGCTCAGCCAGGCTCAGCCAAGACTGGAGCTGTCGCCTGCTGCACCCTCCCAATGTGAACATCAACAGGAAGCTGGATTGGAAATATAGTCAGCTAAGATATAGAGTGCAGGCATCCTAAGTTGTGACTTAACCTCTGTACCAGATGGTTGCCTCTGAAAATTATCTTTATTGATAGATTATGTGTTTTTTTTAATGTTTGTCCCCACCAGAATATACTGAGGACCAGAATTTATTACTATATTGTTGCACTTATTACTATATTCTGGGCACCTAGCGCACAGCAGGACTCTAATATATATTTTTCAATGAGTGAGTGCACTTGATTGTGGACTTTGGGCACTTTGTACATAACTTGTCGTTGTTGCTCACTGTAGAAGGTGACAAATAAAAGAAAATGGAAAGAATGGACGTGGACTTGCTAGGTTTTGGTGAGAGCAGGTTCCTTTCTGGGAAGAGAGCTGTCTTTTCTCAATACAGTACACAGCTAGAGGAGAGTGATTCTTGCTGGGAGACACCCTGTGCTTATTTCTGGGCATTTTTACATGTGTGTCCCTCTTGGCTCATTGTGAGAAGGAGCTAGTTTCAACTTGGGATTGTGTCTCTGCTAAGTGGACCAAATCACTCTTACTTTACTTTGAGCCTTGGGCCAGGAATTTCACAAGGTAGTTTGGAAAACCAGCTACTTTCACTACCTGGAAATTTTGATCTATGCCTTTCGAGTTGCAAGGTTTTTAATTCTTTTTGATCTCTTTGACTTCATCCATCTGTATGTTTTAAAATAACTTATCTTGAACAGTTTCTTAGCTGTACCTTCAATAATTCGCTCCCAACCACTCTGCATGTGGTTTTAGAAGTCTGGTGTTAAGAGGGGGATTCCTTGGATTGAAAAATACTGTATGGTTGTCTCTGTGTTTTGTTAGTGAACCTGCCTCAGGGGTCATGGAAGTGCCTCAGGAGAAGGGGAAAAAAGTGATTTTAGAAATTTGGAAAAGTACCTAGGGAGTAAGTCTTGGATTGCAGTAAATGAAGGCCAAGAGGAGAAATACCTGAGAATGCAAAGGAAGAAAGTCTAATGGGATGATCAGCCTAGACGTCCATCCTTCCATTCATCCTGTCAGCCACTGACACACTGTTTACGCATGTCCATCACAGGAAAAAACGAAACAGAATACAGTCAAGCAAAAAGTGAAAAATTGAATATATTGTAATATCTAAGTGAGAGTATGGTTTTATATACTTCAAATTTTATGTTTATAAATGTATGCATAATACAATATATATATTTAACACAATACATCATATATATACATATATATATAATGCAGCAGTCTTTTTTTGATATGTATATTTTAAGTAATTGTTCTTTCTGGGATGTTTTTTCTTTCCTCTCTCTATGCTTGCCTAACTCCTGTTCATCCTTCATTACTGCTTAGGATCACTGCTCCAGGGAAGCCTTTCTTGACCCCAACCTGATTAGGGCAAATCTCTTTTCTACTTAATTCCAAAGGTACTTTACACTGCTCTTCTTTTATATTTTTTTAAGATTTGTTTATTTATTTTATTGGAAAGTCACATTTACAGAGAGAAGGAGAAACACAGAGAAAGATCTTAGAAAATGTTATTCTATCAGATTCCATTTCAAAATGCATAGAATTCACCTGTGATAGACCCAGATAATCAAGTAAAACTCCATTTCTGGCATCTTATTTAAAACCAAAGGAAAGGGCCGGCATGGTAGACTAGTGGCTAAAGTTCTCTCCTTGCATGTGCTGGTTTCCCATATGGGCACTGGTTCTAAACCGGTGGCTCTGCTTCCCATCTACCTTCCTGTTTGTGGCCTGGGAAAGCAGCAGAGGACAGCCCAAAGCCTTGGGATCTTGCACCCATGCAGGAGACCTGGAGGAAACTCCTGGCTCCTGGGTTTTGGATTGCCTCAGCTCTAGTTATTGCGGCTGCTTGGGGAGTAAATCAACAGATTCTCTCTGTATAGCTGACTTTCCAATAGAAATAAAATGAATCTTAAAAAAAAAAAGCAAAGGAAAAAGAAATACATCTAGCTTTTTACTGAAGTGTGATTACCTATGGTTATGTATCAGGATTTAGTGTTTTTATTTTTAATTATTAAAAAAAAGTTTGTGTAAGTAGAGTAAAAGCATATTTTTTAAAAAGATCTATTTATTTATTTATTTTTTGCAAAGTCAGATATACAGAGAGGAGGAGAGACAGAAAGATCTTCCCTCTGTTGATTCACTCTAATGGACTGAGTTCTAATCCCGAGTCCAGCTCTCTTTGTCCTCTTCCCCCACCCCTCTCTTTTTAGATTTTGTTTTTATTTGAAAAGTAGTTTTACAGAGAGAAGGAGGAAACACACAGAGAGATCTTCTATCTGCTGATTTGTTCCCCAAATGGCTGCAGTTGCATGAGCTGAGCCACACCGAAGTCAGGAACCAGGATCTTCTGCCAGGTTTCCCACATGGGTATAGGGGCTCAATTGAGCCATCCTCATGTGCCTGACTCTTAATAAAAGTATGGAGAATTCACTTAACATCTTTGGTCTTCCATTTTCTTATCTGTGAGGTTGGAATAACAATATTCAGAGGAAAATATAGGTATAAGATAGCTAGCACAGAATAGTAACTTAGTAAAATTCATTCTCATTAACTGTAGACCAGTGCATGGTTTCCAAAGTTCTTGTGAATAGAAGAGATGTCATGGTGGGTAGGGAACATCTGTGTGGCTGCGCTGGTATCTTCTTCCTGACCTCTTTCCTCTATGCCACTGGCTGAACAGAAAGACTTTGTCAGTAGAGGAGGGACGTGATTCCAGGCAGGGTGAGTGATTGGGTGACAACCGTCATGACAGCTGTATTAGCTGCAGCTGTCCCAATACTCAACACTCATTGTGTCTTCGGATTCTTACACAGCCTTGGGATAAAAGCAAGGTAGGGAGTGACCTTATTTCACATAAAATGCCTTTTCTGGAATTTGGTATCTTTTGCGATTGTTTGTTTACTTGTCTCTCCACTAGGCAATGCAGCCAGTTCCATGACTTGTCCTCTGGGGTTACCACAGTAGGATTCATGTTCTATTTGCTGGATTTTTTTTTTTTTGTCAAGCTTAGAAGAGTTTTCCTTTGTCTTTGAAAATGAAATAAAATTCTTTTACAGTGAGTAAAAGCTCAAAGAATTCGCCTCTTCCATACCTGCCCTACAAATAATACTTAAGGATGTTTTATTGACAGAGAAAGGGAATAGCACCTGCAAAAGCCTAAGGCAGACAAGGAGAATGTCTCAATAGAACAAAAGAAAACTAACTCAAACAATGAACTACCCCTTGCTAAAATGACAGGACCAAATTAATACCTTTTGATATTAACCTGGAATGTAAATGGCTTAAACACATCAATCAAACCTCATAGATGAGCAGACTGGTTCAAAAAATAAAACCTATCTGTTTGTTGCCTACAGGGGATACATCTTACCAACAAAGGTATGTAAAAACTGAAAGTGGAAGGATGGAAAAAGATATTCCAGGTTAATGGAAAGCAAAAATGAGCTGGTGTAGTCATTCTTATATAATATAGACTTTGATGTGAAAAATATTAACAGATGAAGAGAGATACCACATGATCCATTGAGCGACAAGAGCTCATCCTAGTAGTCTCTTATGATGTTTTCTTTTTCATCTCTAATTTTACTTGTTTTTTTCTCCTTGCTTTTATTTTCTTCGCTAGTCTGACTAAAAGTTTGTTTTGCTCATCTTCTTAAAAATGGCATTCTTTTTGCAATTTGTAGCTTTTTAGTTTCAATTCCATTTATTTTTGCTGTGATTTTACCATTTCTTGAATTCCGTTCGTTTTTTCTTTTTAAATAAGTTCTTGAGATTTATTAGATCATTTATTTGAGATATTTCTGTCTTTTGTAATCACTGATGCCATAAATGTCCCACCCCTTTTTAAAAAAAAGGTTTATTTATTTTTACTGGAGAGGCAGATTTTACAGAGACAAGGAGAGACAGAGAGAAAGATCTTCCATTCATTGGCTTACTGCCTAAGTGGCCACATTGGCTAGAGCTGAGCTGATCTGAAGCAAGGAGCTAGTAGCTTCTTCTGTCTCCCACGTGGGTGCAGGATCCCAAGGCTTTGGGCCATCCTCGACTGCTTTCCCAGGCTGCAAGCAGGGAGCTGGAAGGGAAGTGGAGCAGCTGAGATATGAACTGGCTCTCATATGGGATCCCAGTGCATACAAGGTGAGGACTTTAGCTATTAGGTTACTGGACCAGGCCTGTAAATATCTCTTTCAATATTGTTTTTGCTGCTTCTCATGGGTTTTGATATTTTTGTTTTTATTTTCATTTCTTCAAGAAGTTATTTTTTTCCTTATTAATTTCTTCAGTGACACATAGGGCATATAGTAGCACCATTTTCTTCTTCAAGAAGGTTTTTGATTTTCATTTCTTCAGCAACACATTGGTCATTCAGTGGTATGTTATTTAACTTGATGGCGTTGTGAATTTTCTGATTTTTTTTTTCCTGTCGGTGATTTGGTTTTGTGGTTTTTCATTTAAGAGGATATATAGTAACAGTGTAATAGAGATTATCATATTCTCCAAGATGTGAAGACACAATGCAGTGTGCATCTCTACTTCCAAATCAAAGATGGACTCCCAATGAAATTGTTCAATATATCCTGACAATAGGATGCTGGACCCTGTGCCATTGTCCATAACCTTCAATGTCTGAATACACTTAAATAGCAGAATGATGGGCTTATGACTGTTTATAAAGGCCTATCCTATTGTGATAATATAGGGAAATCAGTGGGAGGGAGGAGGCTTGAGAAGGGTGGAGAGGAAATCCCAGAGCCCATGGAATTATATCATAAAATAATAAAATAAAGAAAAAGGAGTAGATGAAGAAGCAAGATTAACCAAGGCTTTGGTGTTTTCTACCCCTCAGGAATTATGAGATGTTAACAGAAAACATCCCTTCTTCCTTTTATTCCCTCTCCAACAAATATTTTTAGATACTTGTCATATGCCATACACTTGGTCACACTTTGAGGACTACTTGACAGATAAGCTGACAGGAAATCCACCCTCATGCTTCTTGCTTATTAGACATTAAATACTAACTTATGCTTTGAATTTTGGAATACGTTGGTTCCATTCAGTGGTTGGGTTATATTTAATTTATAGAGGGACTTATGAGATATTACAGTATACAGCAATGACTATTAATATTTTCAGGTCCTATTTAAGCTGAAGTATTCACTTGTTGTCTTACAAGTTCGTAAGAGATAATATTGAATTCTGCATAGAGATGTGCTTATTCAAGTCTCTAATTTGCTGCAAGGGAGCTTTCTGAGAATGTAATCGTTGTCTTCAAGTCCCTGATTTTTGCTTCACATCATTTTTTTCTTACTGAAGTTCTAAGTACTTAAGATCAAAATTTGAAAACTTTGGAATTGTGTCAAGAAGCAAGAGAATGTCTCCTGAGTTCCTCCCACTGTCTTAAAAACCATGTTTATCCTTTCCAGATCATAGAAATCCATGAACGTCTGAAAAACACCATTTGTCATCTCTCTAGAGGAGGTGAACTTCTGTGTGTATATGCAAATATTTTCATACAATTACAGGAGTTTCTGTTTGTTTATCTCAAAGTTGCAAAGCCCTAACTTTACTCCCAGTTACAAATTCCACAGACAGGAATCAGCCAGACTCCATCTTCACACTCATAGGAATGCTTCCGAATATGTTGCTCCTTGCAATTGGGCTATTTTCTTTCTCTCTGGATTATTTTTTAAACTCCAAATTGTCAAACTAAGAATTGACTGTCTGATTACCTTTGCACTGTAGGTGCCAACTGGACCATTATTGATGAACTTAGTAGTTGTCAGAATAAACTCAGGAAGGAGACAGGTTGTGAGAGCCTGTCCTATGGGTGGAGGAGTTTGCTATCTTTACCTCTTCTTCTCAGCCTCCTTGTCATGCTCCGAGGTTCTTTGTTCAGAGGCCCTTCTGCTGACTTCCACAGTACTCGGAGAACAAAGTGGAGACCTCTGGTGCACCTGATCCGACAATGAAGGGAACAGGCAGGAATTGGAACATATTTCTCTTGTTTGCCCCATTCTCTTCGCCCCATCAATTCCCCACGATTTGAATGTTGCAGTCATTCAGATCTAGAGCTCTGTCAGGATGTGGACTGGAACTGGTGAGAGAACTGTATGTAGTCCATGTAGCTTGGAGGTGGGCGTCTGCAACCCACATGCTGTATTGTACTTCAGTCTCTTGGCTCTTGTGTGTGAATTCCACAGAGGGGAAACAGCCACCCAGGCTCCATTTTCACAGATACTAAGGCGTCTGAATTGTTTTGCTGCTTGTAGTCAAGTCATCCCTTATTTCAGCATACCAAGACACGTGCTTTGCCTGTCTTTCCTTCTGAAAATCAGCAGCTCATGTGGAATGAGCTGGTTCTAGGTAAACCTGTGCTGTGTAAGTGGAGGGTAGGCTGAAGTCAGGGGTCTCAGAATTGGGGAAGCATGTGCTGTCGCCAATGTTGCTCACTGCCCCACTATCTTTTTTGTGGATTATTGTCAAAGCCTCCCAGCTGTTCCCTCTTCGCTTGGATCCAGCTTCTACCCCATATTCAGAATTTCATCAGAAATACCCATCTGTTTATGTCACTGCCCTGTTTAAAACCTCTCCATAGTGTTGCCCTTAAGGTAATGTCCAGACTCATTTGCATGACCCAAAATGTGTAAATCTTGACCTCATCTACATGTCCAGCTTCCTTTTTCTCATTGCTAGATCATGTACCTGCCATGCTGTCCTGGCACCACTCCCCAAGCGAATCCTTTTGGCATATCTTCCCTTTGCGCTTATTGATCTCATATCCAGCTCATCCTTTCTCACATATTTTTTTGTGTTTGAACTATTCTCCATTCCAGCTCAGATGTGACCTGTTACCAGAATGTCTTACAGGAGTTTCTGGGTGGGACTTTTTGCTCCCTCCTCTGAGGTTTTAGGATTTAATATAGTATAGTATTTACTAGTGTGAGCTTTAGAGTCAGAATCTCTGGGTTTCAACCTAGCATGTCTCTTTCCTAGAATTGTGATCATGAGAAAAGGAATTACATATCCTCCCATGCCTCAGTTTCTCCATTTGCAAAATATGGATGCTCTAACAAAGCTTGTGGGTTATTGTGAGGATTAGAAGAGACAGCACATTTAAGTCCTCTGTGCAGTGATTGGCACAGCACTTGGTGTTACTTCTAGTTATCCTGGTACTTTATGCACACCCCTCATACACTTCTTGTATAAGCACTTGTATCCTCTGTTTGTGGAAGTGTTCATGTACTTGCCTTAAGAGATCTGGTTCCTTGAATGTAAGTACATATCTGGCTCACTTTTCCTGGCTTTGTGAATATGAGTTTATGGTAATGGTTAGTTGAATGAGCTGTATATATGTTTGCCTTGAAAAGGGAAATAGGCAGGGGCCCGGCGCGGTGGCACAAGTGGTTAAGGTCCTCACCTTGCACGCCCGGGATCCCATATTGGCGCTGGTTCTATCCCGGCAGCCCTGCTTCCCTTCCGGCTCCCTGCCTGTGGCCTGGGAAAGCAGTCGAGGACAGCCCAAGGCTTTGGGAACCTGCACCCGCGTGGGAGACCCGGAAGAGGCCCCTTGCTTCGGATCGGCGTAGTATTGGCCCGTTGCGCTCACTTGGGGAGTGAATCATCGGACGGAAGATCTTCCTCTCTGTCTCTCCTCTCTGTATATCTGCCTTTCCAATAAAAAAAATAATAAAAATAAATCTTTAAAAAAAAAAAAGAAAGAAAAGGGAAATAGGCAGGAGACAGTGTAGGGGATGCTTAAGATTGGGTTGTGTGTGATCTTGATGTCATCTGACTTCCTTCTGCCACTTGGAACACAATCCAAATAAGGGTATGGAACCTTGTGGAAATTATGCACATTTTGGTGCCATGTTTATGCATTTCTTGTTTGTTTTATTGTGAACTGTAGGTGACATGTCTGAGAGTAAAGCGAAGAAGATTGAAATCAAGGATGTGGATGGGCAGACACTCAGTAAGCTGATCGACTATATCTATACTGCTGAAATCGAGGTGACCGAAGATAACGTCCAGGTAAAGTTAGCTCTAGCTAATGCCACAATGTTTTGCACACTCAGCACCTATTTTATAACATTATTTCCTCCTTACAGCAACTAAGTTGTTACTGAGGAAGAAACTAAAATTCCAGAGAAATTAGATGATGCTCCTGGGCTCCTGGGGTCAGGAGGTGGGCCAGTTGACCTGTATGTTTCTGCCCTCTCCCCTCAGCACCTGTGGTCTTAACCACTAGGCCATGATCCCTCTGAGTAAGCCTGGTCCCTCAGGACAGAATGTGTGTTGAAGAACCTTGTGAAGGGGTGAGGGGATGTTTGACTTAGCAGTTAGGACTCTGGTTGAGATGCCTGCATCCCACATCATAGTACATTGGTCTGATTACCAGCACAGTTGCTTTTTCCAGCTTCCTGCCAGTGTAGATTCTGGGATATAGAAGTGATAGTTCAAGTAGTTGGGTCCCTGCCAAACATATGGGAGCCCTGAATTGAGTTTCTGGCTCTGGGTTTGGGCCCAGGCTTGGCTTTTGCAGGCAACTGAAGAATAAATCAGAGGATGGGAGATTTTTGTCTTTTCTGCTTCTCTTTCTGTCCCTGTTTCTCCAATAGAAACAAAATTTTGTGACAGAGGAGCTAGAAGCTTGGGATGTCCTCTGTTATTCCCATATCATTACTTCACCTCAAGAATATAGGATTGTGAGGATGTTTTTGTTCTGTCAGCATCAGTCATTCAAATTTCTGTAAGCTTGTGGAGGTGCCAAGCACCAGGACTGTGGCTCAGCAGAACAATGCAGTTGTGAAATATTTTGTCCATGCCCTTTCCTCCCTCCACTGCCCTACCATATCGTCAGCTACCTGGATCCAGAGAGGGGTTTCTTGCCAAGATAGTGCTCCCCCCAAGGGAACAAGTCTTTACCGCGGGTTAAGGACCTGGGCCGTGGGCCTTGCACTCTAGTAGGAGCTTCCTGTTGATCCCTACAAATCTCTGGGCAAAACAGACACAGGGTACACTATTTCTCACCCTTCAGGCTCTTACTATTTCATTACAATGATGGGATTTGCATGTGACTTGAAGGCTTTTCTCCTTTCTTTTCTAAAGCACAATGCCATCTTACTTATTTGTGTGAGGCTGGTTCTTCCCCAGTGACCAAACTGCCTGTTTCCCTTACTGGAGCTCCTTGAACACCACCTCCTTTCTTAGGATTGTGGTATTTGAGAGGCTGAATTATAATTATTTGTTCTTTCAGTTCAGCCTGAATGTTTGGGTTTCTCTTGTATGCCAGGTGCTTTGTTTTTCCCTGTGGCTATAGAATTGAGTAGGGGTGATTCCTTTGTCTGCCCTTAAAAAGTTTTGAATGTAAGAGTAAAGACAGATGTCCATCAAATACTCATACAAGTAATGTGTGCACACAAGTTGTGATAAGACACTTTAAGGAAAAGTGTGTAATATGATGAGAGAGAATACCAAGGAGATTTAATTTCGTTGGGGAATAGAATCTTGAAAAGGCTCTTTAGGACATGGGATTAGGCTGAAGCCTAGCAGGATGAGTGGGAGTTAACCTGCAGGGTGCACATAAAGGGTGAGGATAAAATCCAAGGTACACCGTGTTAGAGCCTGCGGAGGCTACCCGATAGAGCATGCCTCCATCTCTTGCTCCAAGGCATCTCTGAGGTTTTATAGCTTCCAGAGGGATTTGGTCTCATGTACCCTCCTCCTTTTTTTTAGATGAGGTTTGTTTTACACACAGAAAAATGCACAACCATGGCATGCTGTTGCTGGTCTTTCCTTCTCAAAGTGGAGCGGGTAATGCAGTGGTAACACACTAAGCCTAGCAGCAGAATTCAAACTGAAAAATGACTTTTGTCCAGTAAGTGCAAAGTGACTTAATATGAAGTGAGTGGGGCCCGGCACAGTAGCATAGCGGCAAAAGTTCTTGCCTTGTATGTGCCAGAATTCCATATGGATGCTGGTTCTAGTCCTGACGGCTCCACTTCTCATCCAGTTCCCTGCTTGTGGCCTGGGAAAGCAGTTGAGGATGGCCCAAAGCCTTGGGACCCTGTACCTGTATGGGAGACCCAGAGGAGTGTCAGGTTTCTTGGCTTCAGACCAGCACAGCTCCAGCTGTTGCGGCCGCTTGGGGAGTGAATCAATGGATGGAAGATCTTTCTGTCTCTCCTCCTCTCTGTATATCTGTCTTTCCAATAGAAAAATGAATCTAAAAAAATATGAAGTGAGTGTAGGGGAGGTTGGAGAGTTGTGTAAGTAGAGACCCCTTTTTTTCCCTTTCTAAATATGCGTTTATTTCCCTATAAAATCCGAAGTATTTGTCAACTTGGATAATGATATGTTCTTCTCTAGATCCTTACTGCCTGTCTGGGTCATAGCTAGCGGTAGAAATAAGATAGAAGTAATAGGCAATAATAAATAAATAATAATCATAATTAAGGCAATAAGTAAGTAAAAGGGAAAAAAGTAGTCATATGCAGTGATGTAAGAAGGTAATCCTTACTACTCTGGTCTCACCTAGCGATGATCTCTCTGAATTAGCTCATCAAATCCCTATCTTAAAGCTGATAGCAGCAGCACAGTTAGAGATCTCTGGAATAAATGGCTTCACTATTGTTTCTGGAAACTACTTTGACAGGGAGGGGAAGTGAGCCAGAGCAAAGCTGCACATTCAGAGGCTGAGTGGAAACAGGGGTGCAATGGGAATAAAGGCAGAGGAGCCTGACTCCCAGCCTCAGCGGGTGGCCCATTCACATCCTAAACTTTCCCACTGCAGTGACACTTGTCAAGTCTGCCAAGGCAGGTCCTAGAACTTGGTGACCTCAGACCTCAGACCTCAGAAGACGTTCCCTTTACCTGCCTCTAACAGTTGGAGTTGGCTCTGATTACCTAGAACAGAGAGGTGATGATGGTGGGGTGTGTGTGTGTGCATTTATGCGAAAGGCTGTCTCTGTTTTCTCTTCTGGGTGCTCATGGAGACTGAGGGAGAGGAGTCACGTAGGAGTAGGAACCAGAGTAGAGAGTCGGGTAGAAGACTAACCTCTTCTTGCCCGGAAGTAGCTGGGATTTCTCCCAAGAGGAAGATGGTTTGGGATAACCTCCTGCTCAGAATGCTTGGGAAGAACTGAGGTCTGGGCCAGGTGCCAGCTGTTGGTCTGGGGAAAATGCCCTTTACAGGGTCTGTTAAGCAACAGGGGAGGGACAAGTGTGATGTAGAAGGCACAGGACTAAGTGTTAAGGGGCTGTGTCAGTCCTTCCTTATGGCAGATCGCAAGTGAGTTGTTGTCTTATTCCTTCATTTGCTGTTTCATTCAGGGCACATTTTTCTGAGCTGCTACCCTCTGCCAACAATCTGGGCACAGAAGGTGCTGTGGCAGGCTCTTTCCTCAAGGAGCACGTGTCTGACTGTAGAAGCAGATGACTAAGCCAGTGGGTGCCCTATGCTGCAGAGGCGCCCAGACAGAGGTGCCCAGAAAGCAGGGAGGAGTCTTTGCTGTCCCCCAAGGGCTTAGTCAGAGAGGGCATTGATCAAATGCTGTGTGGGCTTGAACTTGAGGGAAGACTTCTCTCTTTGCCAGCCTGCCTGAGTCCCTATTAGACTTTAAGCCCTTGCTGTCTTTATCTTAGTGTATAACGGCTTCCCAGGGATGCACTTGTGGATCCTTCAGATGATGACATTATTTGGAATTAGGTTGTATGAGCAAATCCTATTAGATTTCCCTCCTTACACTTAATTCATTTTTCTCTTTTCTTTCTCACTTTAAATTGTAGTTAGGGAGTGGACATTTATCGTGGTGGCTAAGATACCCATGTTCCACACCAGAGTACCTGTGTTTGGCTCCTGGCTTTGGCTCCAGACTCCAACTTCTTGCCACTGCAAACCCTGTGAAGTGGCAGTGATGGGCTAAGTAACTAAGTTCCTGACACATGTGGGAAACCTGGATTGTGTTCCTGACTTCAGGACGTGGCGCCAGCCTGGCCCTGCCTGTTTCTGTTTCTGGGGAACCAGCAGATGGGAATGCTGTCTCTCTGTCTGTCTCTAACTCTGTCTCTGTATCTCTGCCTCTCAAATGAAAAAACTAAAACACCAAAACAGTGCAGTTAGGTTAGGAGTGACTTTTGGGGAAAGCAAAGCACAAGAGATAGAAAAGGAGGTGAGTTTATGTGAAGATGTAGGTTCTTCTTCCCCCTGCAATGCATCTGCTGAGGCTATTGCTCAGGAATTGTTTAGAAGACGGTATTTCATAAGGATCTGAGGCACCGAGGAGATGAGTATGGAGGCATTGGGGTTCCCCTGGAATCAGATTTAGGGCTTAGTTTAAATGCCTTGAGACCTGGATACTCCATCTCTTCTCAGCCGCATGTACCATGGAGACACCCTGAGTTTCTTCTCCATGGTGCAGATTACACCTAACTGGCACATCTTCAGTGCTCATTATAAGCCAAGCATGAGTCAATCACTTCACATGTATCAGTTCAATGGTTTCTCATAGTCACCTATGGAATGTACTAATGCGATCCCCTTTCCCCCTGACACACTAAGGTTCAGAAGGATGAGCATGAGGAACTCTTCCCACTGTACTGAGCTCTGAGACTGTAGTGGATTCTAGTTTCTCACTTAGTGCATGGGTTCAGCTCAAAATGATTAACAAGAGTGAAAAGGGACTTTGGTGATCCCTCCCTTGGCTCCAAGCCTGTGCCTCCCTGCCTTTAGTGTATTACTTCATGGGACCCTCCCAGCAGTGCCACGGTTAGTCTTCCCATGCTGTGGTAGAAACAGAGGCACAGAGAGAGGCAAAGCCACTGGGCCGCTGTCATGTGGGTGATGAGTGCACAAGTCATACGTCAAAAGGACACTGTTCTTCCAGCTTTCATGTTTGCAGAAAGCTCCCCCTCTTCTTTTCTTCTTTCTCTCCACAGATCTTAGTTTAGTGCATTTTCTATGTTGAACTCCAGCCGTGTGGCTGGTGTAGAGGCCCTGGTGACCACATCCCTGGTGCCTCTGGCCCTGGCCC